AGATGGCTTCATGGAGCCCCTGCAGCAGCGCTTCCTCGGCCAGCGCTCCCGCCATGAGCGCTCCCACAACTCGTGAAAAATGGATACGCGTATTTCTCGCCGTGGAAATGGTTTCCCACCGTGTAAAGTATGTGTTTTACACATTTGGTGGCAAATGAATCCTCAACACGCGATCGTCGATGCACACGAAAGCAAACGCTGTACGACCGTTGTGCCAGATCAACTTGAATACAGAGCTACGTAAGCTTCTACTTGGTAATCAGGAGGCGCGTCCACTGCTCTGGCGAGCCCGACACGAGGTAGCCGACAATCATCTGCCGTGCGCGCTTCGGCAGGCCCCACACCTGCGGTGCGTTCTCGTCCTGCTGGACGCCGCCGCAAAAGCCTAAGTACGAAATCGTTTGCAGCAGGTGCGCCGGTGGGATCTGGCCCTCGCAGCGCAGCGTGTGGTCGCGAAAGTTGGCCATGGTCCACTTGAGGCGCGGCAGCGGCAGGTGCAGCGCCGCCGTCTTGTTGATACGGCGCACGTCACCATTTGCAGCAACGAAGACCCACTGCTCGGAGTCCCAGACGGTCATGGCCTTGCCGCTCGAGATGCAGCGCCACTGGAGATGCTCGAGGCAGCCATCGTAGCCGTCGTTGGCAGGCGCGGGCTTTTCGCGGCTGCAAATGCGCGCGTTCAACACTTCTTGCGGGAAGAATGGACGCAGCCGGTGCATAACCACCTAGAATAATTACAGCTCGACATCCGGGATGGCATAGGAATGCAGTACCTCGTTGTGGCCGCAGGGTTTGCCGTAGGGTCCGCCCCACTCGGCAGCGTCGGCCGGCTTGGGGTTGGGCTGCCACGTGGACTTTTGGGCACAAAATTCGGCGCGGACTTGGAGCGACGTGCTGTCTTTCGACGCGCCGTGCCGCACCGACCCGTCCCACTCGCCGCCAAAGGCGCCGCCCGACGCAGCGTCGAGCCACTGCGTCTGCGCCGAGAGCCGGGTTGCGTGCAGCGACATGCCCGTGGCTGCCGACTGCACATGGAGCCCGACAGCAGTCATCTTGGCCTTCATGCCTGCGACGTCGATAGGACCCGAGTACGTGAGCGGATAGCCCATGTGGAGGAAGAGTTTCTCAGCAACTGCAGCCAGCTTTTGGCGGTTGGCCGACGGTTTGGCCTTGGGCATCTCGTCGGCGTCGAGCCCGGACGCAGACGCGAGCTTCTGGATCCATTGCGCTTCATTGTCGACGTCCTGGGTGGTGAGCTCATGGATGGTCTTGGCCATCGCGGCGCGCGAAGACGCTTTTTGCAGCGCGAGTTTGTTCCACGGCGTGACAGGCGCCCAGTCGCTGGCTGGTGCCGCGTCCTTCTCCAGCACAACGTAGAGAACGCCACTCGGTTTGCTCGGTGTACAGTTGACGTACACGGCACTTGGTGACGCAAGGCCTTTAGCCAAGTGCTCGGTGGCTACAAGGACTATCGACGACGACGACCGGAACTTCTCGAGCGTCTGCTGGCGCTGCGTGGCCGGCGTCTTGGCGTGGACCGCGAGGGCCGTAAACCCAAGGTGCTTGAGCGCTCCAGCGACCAACTGCGGCTGCAAGAGCGCGTGGCCCTTGTTGGGCACAACGACAAGCGCACGGCGCAGGTTATGCATGTCGAGGAGCGCGTACACGGCCCCGACAAAGTCCTCGGGGCGGGAGGCGTGCACATACTGCACCGACGTCGGCGCAGGAGCAACCTTGGCCACGTCCACCTTGGCAGACGACGCGGCAGCAACCTTTGCTCCATCGGCGGGCGCGTCGGCGTTGTCAGACGGCGTCGTGACGGGGCCACTCGACACCAGAGCCCGCTTGTGCTTCTTGCCTTGCTCATGCATGGCCTTGGCGCCCATCGTCACGTCCAAATCGCAGACGTCGCAATGATACACGCCACTGGGCTTTGCCTTTGGCGCGTCCTTGGTGGGTTTGCTCTCGGTAGACTTTGACTTCGGCTTCTTCACATCGGGCTTTGACTCTTTCTTGGTGGTGTCCTTCTTGGCCTTCTTGGGCGCAGGCCTAATACAGAGATGAGGCGGCGTGCACCGATCTTGTATCCGTACGCCTCTGTTCCGCGCAGCAAGGACGGGTTCACCACCACAAAGTCGCTGCCGCCACGGCTCTTGGGCGCCGACTCGCGCGGTCGCTTCGTGCTCTTCGCCATCGAGCAGTGTTATCCGGACTCATCACTGGATTGTCCGGATGCGACGATCGACCATCGCATCGCATGGTAAAAACTCAAGCTACCAACCCGACCGCGTCGTGCTCGTCATCGTAAAGCGACAACTAAGATTTCATAGCTGTAGGAGAGTTTCATCGTAAAGCGACAACTAAGATTTCATAGCTGTAGGAGAGTTATTGAGGTGGCTCTGCAGGATCTACTATCAGTACTGACTGTACAGTGTGCAAAAGCCCGGCGCACACGGAAGAAGTAAAACACACGTCGTTCTGCCAAGACTTGACCCTCGTAGAGCTATAGGACCTGTGCAGCTGTACTAACTAGAAGGGACTGGCGAAGCCTGGGGGTCCTTCGTGCAACTTGCGAGCAGTTGCAGCCAGCGTCGGTTGCTGCCTTTCTCCCGGCGCCAAACCTTCCAGTCACGAGCGTTGTGATTGGTGCCGAAGCGTCACGCCGCGCGCTTATTGGCTGCCGGGCGATCCATGCCCAAAGGGTGCGGGAAACTGCTCTCACTCGTCGTGGATTGGCTGCCAATTTTTCGGCGACGTGTGATTGGCCACCAATCTTTCGACAACGAAACACCCAGCGGCGCCAAGCCCGACGTCGAAGGTCTCATTGCGGATTTTCCCTCTGGTCTCTCGAGTGCCTCCAACACAAGGACAGCCATGCAAGTGAAGTTCCTCCTCGGTGTCCTCGCCGGCGTCTCGGCCGCCGGCTACAAGGCGCAGCCACAAGGATACAAGCAGCAGCCCCAAGCGTACGGCAACGACGGCTACGGCAACTCGGGTTACGGCAACACTGGTTACGGCAACGAGCCCCAGGGCTACGGCAACGCGGGGTACGGCAAGCCGGGCTACGGCAACACGGGGTACGGCAACACGGGTTACGGCAACGAGCCCCAAGGCTACGACAACACGGGGTATGGCAAGCCGGGCTATGACAACACGGGCTACGGCAACGAAGGCTACGGCAAGCCGGGGTATGGCAAGCCGGGGTACGGCAAGCCGCAGCCGACGTACGCGCCGCCGTCGTACGCGCCGTATCAGAGCCACTACAAGGTGGACACGACGGCGCCGTACCCGTACACATACTTTTCGGCCGACCACAAGAAGGACCGGCTCAGCATCCCCAAGCTCGGCGATTACCACTGCTTCTTGACGGGTGCCCCGTGGACCACGTGCGGCCGGAAGAGCCTCACGAGCTACTTCCTCGACCAGTGCCTCGTCTTTTACGTGCAAATGTCGGCCAACGTCAACGGCATCTGCGGCGGCAAGCCACCCAAGCCAACGCCCGAGCCCAAGGCGCACAACGACGACTACTACAGCCCCGACTACCCGTCCGAGCCGACGCCCAAGCCCACGACGCGCAAGCCCAAGACCGACGGCTACGGTGCGGTCACGAGTGCGCCCGGGTACGGCGACAGCGCCGACTTTGTCGAGGACGTCGATGCGTCGTCGCCGGCGTACCTCCAGGAGAAGTGCTACCAAAAGTCGTTCGTGTCGATCACGACGGCGACCGTCATGTG